TGGCTGTAATAAGCCTGAGTGACAAAGTATATTACTCCTATAATATGACACTTAAGGAGTGGACTGAATTCAAGAAAGCTAATGTGAAAAGAGTCAAGAATAAGCTTGGTCGCGATCTAGAGTCATATGAAGAGCAAATATTGCTATTTGCAAAGTCGTGTCTCATATGCCGTCGCCAGCATGACCTGAGTGTCGTTTGCAAGTCATGCATGTCGGTTAGCATGTGTTCTACGCACAAATCGTCTGCTTATGTGCACAACTGCAAGGACCTACAGCTTTGTACAAGACTGGATATCGACAGTGCCGTAACAAATGAACAGAATGTACCAATCCCGGCAAAGCTTCTAACTTATAAATATTTGAAAACATATTTTCTACATCGTTTAGGACGTACTAGTGATTTTGATACTTGGCACAATGTTAATTTTTTATATACCAATTACTTGTCAAGACCTATGACGTTGTTATCTAACATGACGAGAGCAGGTATAGACGAACTGACATCTTCTGCAATCTTTACAATTCACGTTATAGCCGGAAGCTTCACGGATCAAAATAGTCTAATGGCTTGGGAACTCCTTTTACATGAAATGGTTCCTGAGTGTTCATTAATTATTGACATGATAGAGACAAAAATAGGAAATGGTTATTATGATGTACCGGTTTGTCAAACTTGCCATACCCAAAAAAAAGAAATTTTTATTGATTATTTCCCTATGACATACATACAATATACATACACTAAGGAATATTCAGAACCAGATATATTTATGGGATTTGACATAGATTTTGAGGATGATAAAAAGGCTATCCGAGCAGCATTAATGTATGAGCACATACCGTTAGTTTTGACCTGCAAATCAGAAAGTAGGGCACAACAAATCGTTACGGAAGTAAAGACAACTTTGAGCAAAGAGCCTGTCATTAATGAGAAGAATAAATTCGCATCTTGTAGACCATATAGAGATGATGAGAGTGATTCTGTGTTCTTTCAACACCAGTATGTAATTATCTATAACGAAGAAGCTTACGAAATGAAAAATTTAGATACTTCTAGCAATCACAACCAACCCAGTACCAGTACCAGCAGCAATTTATTTCAAGAATAATTGTATCGCCATACTGGTTATATCATTATAAACCTTATACAAGGTAGAAGTTTTTATAAATCTAATTTTTTCTGATTTTTTTATATTTTCTTTTCTAAGCATACTTTACACATATAGAGATCGTAATAACATTGCACTCCTTTTAATGGTTTCCTTAAAAAAATGCTCGGCGCGTCTTTAATGTCTATACCAGTATGTACCATACTGGAGATATTGAATATATTTTCAAAAGTATCTAATAATACGGACTAACACCCACATATATATACACACACATATACATATACGCGTGTCGAGATATTGCGAGAGAATAAAGAACTGATGGAATGTTCATCGTGCTACATAATTGTTTTTCATTGTAGGGAAGTCCACATCGACAATGCTGTATCAAACGAAACGCAAATAAATCTGTCAATATGTAATGCAGCTGAGTGAATCCTGGAACACGTAATGTTTTTGTGATATAATGCGAAATGAGTTAACTTCAAAGAAGAGAAGGTCAAATTTATACATTACAAGTTAATTATGAGCTCTATGTTTCGTGACCGAGAAGTGTACGAAATCAAGTATCTTTATTTGCAAAATGTGTATTATTTGTCGTTAACAGGATCACCTGACTGCACGACTCCGGCATCGGAAACCTCTCTATTACGACAATTCTAATAAAGATAATTTAGTAATATAGTAAATTATAAATAGATACAGAGATAAGATGCTATATATGTATATACATAATATTTGTTGTATATAATTGAAAAATTATATACAACTATATATAATACAAATATATGTATCATACATAATTGTAAAACTTCCAGATACGCGCTAGAACATTGGTGAATATTTTATTAGTACCATCGACAGTCGCCGAGTCATCTGTACTGAATGCCAATTGTCCACTGAGTACAAATTGTCATACTTATGAATATAAACACAGATGTTTCGAGCGTTTGTCTCTTTTGCTCTCCGTTCTACAGTAATATTACAAAATATCTCCCGCTTTTATTAAATTATGCGGACATGCTTTAGATATTATGTCGACATTTGAACTGTTTACTGTGCAATTTTTGTCTTTACATAATAAATTTTTCTATTCTAACGTTTACCACGTATGCAAATCTATACAAGATTTCATGAAGTACTTTCGATGTAGTATAATTTCATATTACAGCAAGGAGCACAGATTAATGCATTGATACACCCACAATGTTTCCACATATGAAAGCATCGAAACATTCCTGAGAATCTTCTGAGTAAAAGTAGTTTTGTAAAACCTAAATAAAAATTATTGAATCTGAGATGGTTAAATCATTATAAACAATATTGTAATATTATTAATTCCCTCATCACATTGATGACAATATTATAAAAATTAAATCGTTTTCACTGATCTATTGCGAGTTTCTTTAGGAAGAATATTTTTTCTTTAATTCGCTGTTTTACTATTTTATTTTCAATTTGTTAGTTTCGGTTGGTATTATTATTTGTTCAATTGTATTATAGCATATATAGTATAGTATATTCCAATATATAAGTAGTGATATTATGTGTGTAGTTCTCCTGTGCAATAGAAATACATCTATATCGTATGCGTAATAGTTGCATAACTGTGACACAATATACAATATTCTTGCAATTTCTCGTTGTACAATATGAATATACAATGTGAATCATTTAAGGAATTAGATATGAAGAATATGTTTTTCATAGATCTCTTCTATCTGTAGGGAAAACGATTCTGAATACACTTTCCTTTCCATAATTTTACAAATTGAAGATGCTCTTAGGCGATTTTACTGTAGAATGTGTGGATTCCGTAGATATATATACACATACAGACTGTCTCGTCACTACCGCATTATCTCCTAAGGGCGGATTCCTGAGGTAATTTGAATAAAAATATCTTAATACAAAAATGGCAAAGCCATTTTTAAATTATAAATGATTAAAGTTAACCAATTATACTGGCTGGAGAACACGCGCTCAGATACTCTACAACACATAATGGTACAGGTGCATGCACATGTCGTCCCTTTTCTAAATATTGATACGGAAGTTCTATATATACAACAATAATCTGCCTTTTCTATCATTTAAATAAACATATTGGAAATAATAACAATTTCGTCAAAATGTTATGAATAAAATATCACACAATACATTCATGAGAATCAGTAAACTGTCATATATTTGACGTTACTTTCAGGGATTTGCAACTAATTTCTTATCTTATGCAAATTCTCACTTATGTGCATGCACTTGTACCATTGTGTGTTGTAACGTACCTGAACGCGCGTACTTTAGCCAATATAATTGGTCAAATTTAATCGTTTATAATTTGAAAAGTATTACAGCCTCGACATATTTGGATTTGGATTTTTTTCTTCAAATTATCTCAGCAATCCGTCCTTAAGAGGTAAAGCGGTAGTGGCAGAACACCCTGTATGTATAATAAATTTATATATATTATATGTTATAATAAATAAATATATATATATATATATATATATATATATATATATATATATATATATATATATATATATAT